ATATATAAACTATATATATATATATATATATATATATATATATATATATCTGTTTTGTTGGTCTTTAATTGAGTTATTTTAGATGCAAATGCATAATCCTCTGTCAATTTTAAATATTGTAAAAAAAGACCCAGTTATCTCTAACTGATTCATCAAAATATTTTTTCCTCAATGATTGACAACGTCCGCAAAACAGCTGAATTTCGCTTCACGCAGATTCCAAAAAAGTTACATTTATCATATTTAATTAAGGTAATCAATTTTCATGTCACATCTCCCTCAATTCTATACTTTGAATAAGTTGAAAAGTCGCTTTTTGTTGCTCAATTTTTAGTAGTTTCAAAGTAGAAAAGATGAAATCAATATTTATTTCTGATTTTTTTTGACATTTTTTTATCTTTTTTTTTTTCGTTTTGTTCATTAAAGTCAACTATAGCGATGATGTCATGCACGAATGTTTCAACAAATCTCAGCAAAACATCGTCATACTTGACTGTTTGTAACAGCAAACATTTGGACGTCCATTCTACCAAATTAATAACTGAATATTCAGGGAAAAACTTAGTAAAAACCTAATTTACAGTAATTATTTTTACTTTTGTAATATGACAGGTAAAGTTAAAAAAAACAAAGATTCTTCTTTGCAAATAAAGCTTAAGTCGTTGTAACAGAAAAAAAAATTTATTGAAATTGGAAGAAACCAACAAAGATAAACCTGTTGCCCTAGAGGTTTGTATAAAATTTAATAAACAGCGGTACCTTGATGATGATGGAAGATGTGCCGTAAGAGTTTGACCGTTATCTTCTTTTGATTTGGTTCTTGACCTTAAAATTAAATCCTTAAATATTTGTTCAAATTTTAGGCAAGCAATTGTTGGTGGAAAATTTATAGCCAATTCACCCCACATAAAGGTCTTCCATATAAAAGACAAAAAAAAAAATCTCAAAATCTGATAGCATTTATTGAACAGATAATGTTGTGATTTCAAAAAATATTCGCCTTAATTGACAAAAAATTTACCTGGATTGTAAATTAGAATCTGGATACGTGTTAGTACCAGAAACATATGTTTTTAACTCCATAATGGTACCCCGATTTGGATCATTTGTATGATTGATGTATCGAACAGGTATACCTCCTAAGAAGAAAAGAACAATAATTTATCGCTTCTTCTTTTTCTTTAAAACTAAACAATAAAAAATTGAAAAATTTAGCTTATAATTTTACCCATTTAGTAGTCAAATTTATTTGTCCCTTTAATCTCTGCCATCAGCACCCCCCCCCCTTCCTCTCCCCGCTCTGCACTAATTTTTTTCTCCTATCTAAAGTTATCATACATAGAAAATTGATTACCTTTGATATACGTATATGGTTGATCATTTTCCTTGCGTGAATTACAGCAAAAACCAAAAAATGTTTTATCATTTTTTTCCACCGGTTTTGCACATCCATTGTTCCAGTTATTTGGAAGTGTATGCCTAATTACCACTGGATATCTCCTAAAACAGAAAGAAAAACAAAAAGCAAATAACAGAATTGTTGATTTGTGAGCATAAAAACATAAAGTGCTCTTGAAGTGAACGCTGCTTTTGGCAAATCTCAATTTTTACGATCATCATCATCATCATCATCATCATCATTGAAAGAAAAGAAAAGATGTTTTTCAGCCGTATTTGTTTGTTAAAAATTCTAACAAACTGGAATTGAAGATTAATTGTCCACATTTTGACGTTAGCCAAACATAGATTTTATTGTAAAGAAGTTTAAGAAAAAACAGCAAAAAAAATAAATAAATAAGATAAAATAAAATAAAAATAAAAATAGAAAAAAAAACTTAATTTACTCATAAAGCTGTTTTATAATTGTATAAAAATGACTCATAATTGAATAGTTTTAACAAAACCCAAAAACATGTGACTCTTTGCCGTCTTAATTTGTCTTACAAATTCTTTCCCCTCATCTCAAATTCACATCCCCTGTTGCAGTTTTTGCAGCTTTCTCATCATAACTTTATTCACTCTGCACAAACTTATTCTTGTTTTTCCTTTCCTTTATTTATTTATTTGTTTTTTTTTTTTTCTGTTTATTTATGTGCTTTTTTTTTTTCTTTTGTTATTTCTTCTGAAAACGCAATGCAAATGGAAGAAGATGGAAAAAATTCAAATAAATCTAAAATAATTTGATATTTTTTATTGCCATAATATAACGGTTTTAATAACTGATTGACGTCAACAGAAATAACAACAAAAAGAGAAAAAGGGGAAGAAAAAAAGAAGAGAATACTACCATTTTTTGTCATTTTATCTTATTCTTTTTTTTTCCTTTTTTTGGATTAATTCTAGGCTTTTTTTTTCTGTAATGCAACTAGACATTCCAAAGAAAACAAAAAAAAAATTGGCCCTTAAAAAAAGATACGAAGAAAAAGTGAAGAAAAGAAGAGCAAAAAAGTAAGAGAAAGGAAAATGATAGGAAAATTTGAAACCAAAAATAAGAACCTTTGAAGACTATCATTTGGTGACCTAAAACTTTGGCTCATTTTATTACGTCCTGAAAGCGATGCAATATCAGGTTTATGGTGATCATATCGAGTCAAACTTCGAACACTTCGGATACTTTTAGTGTCACTAAGTGTCGTTCGGGTTCGTGCAGCCGTTGTGTGACCTCGACTTTGACTTGCGTGACGTCTCAAAGCATTCAAACGTTGACACGATCGACTCGAATGCACTAAAACCTTATGGTTTCAATTAGGTCACCACCAGTACTAAATACTTTAGAGCTGCCATCAACAAATACTATCTGCATATTTAGGTGCAGATAAATTTTTGGCAATTACATGTCTCTAACACTATTGCTGTGTGTCCAGAGGGTATTGTATTCATCTGAAATGTTGTCCATAACTTCTGAAAACTGCTTATTCCCCTTACGCAAAAAGTTTACAGTTTAATGCTTAATAGCGACTATCAAGACCACGATAAAGAATGAGGGACGGAGAAGAGGAAGGTGGGGGAGAAGGAGCGGCGAAAACGGGGGATAACGAGAAGCAGGAAGAGAGGAAAAAGGAGCGGATAAGGAGAGAAAACGATAGTGGTGAGCAAAAATTTATGTATTCAAAATGACAACGAAAGCATTTTGTTGTTTTCTGTTACTAAAAAAATTTTTTTTTTTTCAAATGTCCTCTCTTTTTTTTCGTCATTTTTCTTATATTTTTGTTTATTTATTTGTTTGTTTGTTTGTTTATTGTTTGCAAGTAACAAGTAACGCCTTTTATAAAATTAGCTACAGATTCATGGATGCATGCATAGAATCGCAATGATCTGGATTCCAAATTGCACTTTTGACGTTTTGCATTTCTCGCCTTTGATTGTTAAATAGCTTGTAATTTCCAAAAATATTCGATTTTGAACATTA